TGTAGAATAAATAAATTAAGTCATAATAACGTTTCCTGTGGTGTACCTACTCTACGTACTGTCCCTTATTAATGTAAATGTAAACGTACCTCTTACATTTGTCGTAAAGCAGGGTTTTGGGTGTTTTACAGGTTATGAAATCATGTTATCTTCTGGCATTGACCTACGGTAGGTCAATGTCTTCTGACTATATTTTTATTACCAAGATAGGTATTTATTTTCTTTGACAATTATCATGATAATTATTCGATGTAATCTGACAGTTATTCAAGCCAATTCATAGTCTAGTTAATTTTTAACTGAAGATGACACACAGTGAGAAACTAAATAAACACGAAGAAAAATCTTTGGGAAAACGATTTGGTTTGTTACTTTTTTGTGATTGACATTATCACTTTGAATCCTGGTAAAAGGACGATTTTTATAGTGTGCTAGACAACCACACCAATTCATTATCATCCTCATCATCACCACATCAGCCGGACGCGACGCGATCCATCGGTTACCCGCCGCCCTTACCAGGTCATCCGTCCATCTAGTAGGGGGCCGTCCCACTGTACGCCACACCAATTAGTTGGTATCAAACTAGAAATTCCTGTACTATGAGTGTACCAGAGGAAAGGAATTCACTCTGGGGCACACAACCCAGAACACACCCGGAACAGATCAGAACCAACTTAGAAAAGTTTTTTTTTGAAACCTAGCTTTCTTCCCATTTCTCTGTTTTACGCCGCTGCACGCTGAGTCCGCTGCACGCCTAAAAGACTGGATCTTTTAGGTGCACATCTAGCTCGTCTCTCCATCGACGCTTTGGCCTGCCGCATGTCGTTTCTGTATTTGGGGATCCATTCTGTGGTAGCCTTCGCCCACGACTCTTCCGATATGCGGAAATTAGTATTTTTTTATATTTTATTCGCAAAAATGGTGTCTAGTGACAAAGACAAAAGTACAATAACGGATAGATTCCGCCTAATTTAAAACAAGAAGCAAAATTTCTCGCTGAAATTATGTTTTGAGCTAAGAGCAAGCAAAAATACAAGAAAAATTATGATTACTAGTTCTATTATAGATTCTCATTTCATTCACTAGCCTTTTAATATTTTACCGCGCGTTGTTTGACAGGGATTACCTGACTCGGATATAATACAGGACTTCGCTGCGCTCGGCTTTGTAACTCTCGCGTCCGGCAATAATATACTTACAGAAGATTTAGACCCGAAAAATTAATGTCATTTCCAATTTCATATGTAATTTGTTTATTCATAGAATAAAAGGCTTTTATAATTTTTATCTTGGTGCTGTAGACTGTAGAATGTGTGTGTGTGTGTGTGTGTGTGTGTTTTGCAGATTTGTTTACTGCTGGATCTAACAAAGTCCAAGTGGTTTGAAATAAGAATGCTTAGTTTAGAAGGGATTGTGAATAAAATTAACAATATTGGCGTGTGTAACTAAAATATTCTCGTTATTTAATTTACTACGGTAAGAACACAATTTTACAGAATGTTAATGTTCTAAAAGATATCTACAAAAATTGTACACTAAGTGAAAACTTACAAAATACTCTTTAATTTACAATTAACAGAGAAATATCAATATCAAGTTCAACAATATTAAGTTAAGCTTTTTTTTCATTACAATTAAAAAACTTACGTCTACTTTTAATTATTTACAATTTAAATGTTAATAACGTCATGTTTATTTTTACATAATAATATTTCGAATCTGTGTGTAAAATTTTTGCTGATTTTTGCAAAATTTATGGCGGATTATGAGATGGAAAACGTTATATATGTATATTTAAATTACACATTGTAGTTGGTCTTTTATAGTTCAAATTTCAGTCGATATTTCGCAATTTCTGTAGATTCTACATATGACACGAGCACTGCGTGGCATATGTTGAATATGCTTTATGTGGCATCAGAATTTGGGACATAATTGATATTCGCATAGTTTTGGGACATTATATATTTATATAGACCCGTTTTGTGAACGCATAGAATTTCTTCTAAAAGTGCATTACTTTAACTATTGAGGAAAATAATTTTGTAGGTATGCCTTTGTAACATTTCCAATTTACCACATCTTTTTTCTCTAATCTGAATGGAGTTTTTTTAAACACTGAAAATTCAGTAACACGGCTACCTTGGCATTGAAGGAATACCAACAAAGTCGTATCCCAACAATACATAACTTATACTACGGAATTATTATCCATGTTAAAAGATTTTGCTCGAGTTTAAACGTAGTCGTTACGGGTCATACAAGTTCAATTTAATCAAAAGTTTTGATTAATTTATTACTGTCATATTATTAATTTATTTCATTTCTGTCTATAACAGACAAGAAAACTGAATTTTAAGTTATCTCAGGAGAAAATATACTTACCTGCAGGCATCGAGTATATAACCAGAAATAGAGACGAAGTGTCATTTAATTAGTGCGAAAACTATTCTGCCTAATCATTACGTGACAACTGCGCTTCGATTGGCCTGCCCAAATTCGAAACAATTGACAGGTATCGTCAATAGTTTCACTTCAATTGACCAGTTTAACTTGAGCTTTGCTATAATTTGAAAAATTGAAAGAAAATTGAAAAATTACATTTAATTACCGATGAAATGTGATTCCGTTTGTTTTATAATTAAATGTTTTGCTGTTTTTCCCACACCACCGAATGGAATAGCACTGCTAGAGATATTATCTTTATTACAATAAATAAGAAATATTCTTGGAGTATACGGAGACGCACACACAGGTCAGTTGTTGGCGCTGTACTATTTCAGCTTTCTAATTTCTGATTTCAGCGCAAACGAGAGTTGATGTTTAAAAGTGATATAAGGCCCATTTACGTGATAAGTTGCCAGGTACGGGCGGCCCGTATTTCGTCTCTGTTTCGTCTCTATTTCTGGTTATATACTCGATGCCTACAGGTATCTATCTATAAGAAGTTTTGTTTTTCATATTATAGTAAACATAACCTAGGATGATCCCTGTGACACTTCATTTGACGTTTGTCATAGAGGTGAGGTAAAGTCGATAGATTTTTAGAGTATGGATTTTAAAGCAAATGTTCTCTCTTATAATTTTATTTTTCTGATGTATTCTGAGCGATATATAGATGTGTAAAGTATTTTGTGTTATATTGAAGACATAAAACATCACAACTTTAATTCAACTTTAAATTTCTAAAAACATTTATCATATTATCAATTTATGTGTTTCAAAAAAGTAATAACACTGACATGTCCATTCATTGCCCATGATTAAAATTCATACTTTAACAATGAATAGACGCTCTATACATTTTTTCATTAAATTATCGAAAACTTTTTATCGATATACCTCATCTCTAGCAAATGCAGTCTAATGAAGTACCTTTGCACGTTGTCGTAAAAAATTAATGAATTTTTCCTTTGTTCTGGTTCTTTTATAAATATTTTGTGATTGGGATTTGTCTTTATTTTTAATATACTTTAGCAAAGTACGTCGTAAAGAACATTGTTTAGAACGCACGTAAAAGGTAGCACTTTACATTTACCGCGGTACGGGACGGAAGAAAATTTCTTGTTAACTGAATTGTGCATAGTACAATGAACTGGCCATTGAGTAACGTACAAACTAATACGATACGGTAGCTGCGGTAATGCGTCCCAAGACTACGCGAGAATTCTGCGGAAGACGCGCGACCTTATTATTTGGTCCGTATCTAGTCTGTGCCTTAAATAATTGACTTCTAGTCATAGTTACAAAAATTCGCTTCTATCGAATTCAATTTCGTAATGTAAATACAGCCTTAAAAGAAATTTTGTCTGAACGTTTAGTTAGGTATACTTCAAAATACTCGAAACAGAAATGGTAGAATCTTTCAATATCATTTTGGCTACCTATTTTGAGTCAGAGTGTTCAATTAACTTTTGATTAAATTGAAGGTGTAGGCCTTTTTACGTATCGCATTGAGGAGTTTTTGTTGGGCGTTTTGTCATGCATTGTCGACTTACTACCTAAATTATTTACATGTGTCGAAAAATGGAAAACCCAATGGAAGACGTTTTCAATGCCTAAAATAAGCATAGAACATTTATCACATAATCTAACGATCGAAATCACAAATCTTAAAAGTAATATTGTTCCCCAATTATTTAAAAAAGTACGTCAATACTTGACGACAACACACAAAAAAAACAAACTAAATCAGGTATAACGATAGGTAACGTTCGAAAGAAATTAAAGCGATTCGATTTTTAACCTATGTTTTGAACAACACGATGGTAACTTTTGTTGATACGTTTTAAAAAATAAAACTTGCATTGGAAATAGTTAAATAAAATGGAAAAGAACCAGCTGATCCAAACAAACAAACAACAGGTAACGCACGAGACGATTTCGCGGCATAAAATTAAACAAATGAGTATTACAATATGGGGTTGCCGGAAAGTTTGATATAATTTGAACAATTATTGACAAATACATTTTTCATTTTAAATAGGCTAATGGTTTGGTATCGAACGGCAAACATCTCTTTATTTAATGGTAAAATAAAACTTAGAAGGTATCCAACATCCAGCAATAACTATTAATAATAGTATAAAAATAACTGGCCTCAGTAATGTGTTCGATAATAAAAGCGGATTCGAAAGGATTTAACAAGCTAAAAGTACTGTTAAGACAATAAAAATATCCTTTGACAATAACGCCAGAAGCTTCGTATTAATACTAAAGTAGTAAAATTAATCCAAAAATAAAGATATTCAAGCATTATTACAATAGTATAAAGAGGAATTACTGAAACTGTTAAGGAAAGTCGAAGTTAGCAACTACAGTCATGAGATTATTAAATTGGTACCTACATACTTTAAGTTTAACAATTCAAAATCAATTCAGGTCCCTTTAATTTCTCTTAATTGTACACCAAACAACTTTAATGCTTCACAAATCTTTGGTGCTTATCCACATTGCAATCGGCACGAACGAATAGAAGAAGGTATCTATTAAATATACGTACAATATAACGAACACATTGCTTCTTTATTTAAGAAATTACATAGAGCGATAAAATCTAATATTGAGATTGAAAAATGTCATTGAAAAGCTGCGAAATGCGGAGTCAGATGCTGCATTGGAACAGACACAAAGATACAGTTTGATTTTTGATAGAATTTTTATCAAGGGCGTGATCGCGTTGAGATCGTAAACAGAATTTTGTGCGGGGTAGTTTACGTTTTAGTGGAAGCACCAAAAATTTTCCTTAATTCAACGAATTGACATGATTCACCTAATGCTAAGTTCCAATTCTGACTAGAACCTTTATCTCTATACTTGGTACAAGTAGAAAGACTATGCAAAACCATATTTAGCGTCACTCTGTGGTTCAAGATACTGTTTAAATTAGGAGGTAGTTCAAGTGACAATCGTGATTCACGGTACAAACTTCGCAACTTTTCTTTGACTATGTCTATTTTCTATTCTTAAGGAATTATTAATGTGTCGGTGGCTTTTAAATAATATTTACCCTAAGGATACATCTTTCAAATAAATACTATCTCGGAAGGTTTTGGTCCCGGATTATAATTTTTAAACAAATTATAACAATTTGGACCCATTCGGCAAACATGTGATTTTATATAGTCGTTTAGCATCATATCCACAGAGACCAGTGAATGCCTTACTATGAGTATCGCTCTGCGATATCACATGTCTTACAACTAAACACTTATCATTATCCTTCTTAATCACATATCACAATTGAGCTCTCGAATCGAGAGAAAAAAATTTCAATGTCCAAAGTTACGCGAGCGCCTGCGTCAAATAAGCGGCTGTCATTCATGCAGGTTCTTGCTGAGAAGCAGGCTATTGTGTGGCCCTGATAGATGTCGTATAAGTTCCGGTAATGCTTCGAAGGTTAGTTGGCAAAAACAACAGTTAAAACGGCCTGGCGTGTTGGTTCTTCCGTCGTTTTCGCTCGACGATATCACGTTCCGATGTACAGAACACAGATGTTTTAACAAATGCGCTTTCTGTTTGAACATAGCAACGCAGAGTCGACAAGCGAATGGTTTTTCACCAGTATGAACTCGAAGATGTGTCTTGAGATTCCACGACATACCGAACTGCTTGCCGCAATATTCGCATCGGTACTCTCGAACGGGAGCTTGTTTACTGGAACCTTGCTCGTGTTCTGTTGAGGGCGCATCGTCTCCCCCTATTTGCGGTTGGCAAAGCCACGTACCCCATGAACCTGCGCTGGGAGGTCGGTATTTCAGAACGTCATCATGCGCGGCTGCGGGTGGAGTCGCGCTTCTTTCTGGTAGATAAGGCGGTGCAGATGCACTAAGTGGATGTAAAGCGCTAAGCCGAGCGCTTGCTGCGACACCAGCTCCCCCTCCAGGACCTTGGGCATATCGCAAATGCGCCATCTCCTCTAAGTAACTTGGAGCGAATGATACAAACGGTGGATTCTGTGACGGTGAATTATGGAAACCTGGCCTTCGTTTTCTGTGAGGCGTGACGACGTAGTTTTCTGGCGATGTCTGCACAAGAGACATAAGATCTTGATCAGGTGGTTTGAGGTGTGCATAATCTTCTAATTTCACTGTTCGTAAGTCCAGTTCAGGGGGTTCCAGATAATGTGATTTCCGTTTAGCCCGCTCGATACCTCGTCCTAGTCGGTCACTGAGCAGTTGTCGTCGGTATACCTGTTCTTGTGGTTGTTCATCTTGACTTGATGTGGTAGATCTTCTTCTGTTGATATTCTGAAAATGAATAAACGAAATATTGATTAAAAATGGTATTTATACTTATTACGAATACAATCATAAGAATGTGTATTATGTTCTATAGTATCATCAAAGTACAATCAGTGTTGTCGCACTCGTTATTTACGTTTAAATGTTGACTGAATAAATCCATTACAACTTAGTTTTTATAACAAACTACTACAAAAAGTGTAGAATAGAAGAATGTAATAATTTGGGAACAAAAACTAATGATATTCACCTTTGCAGCGACAGTTTCCACATCGACATCTTGTGAATCATCGTGTTCCCCACCAGAATTTTCCGAGTTGCGCGCAAGTGACAGATTAACCGGATTTGAAGAACTTCTCCGCCGATTCGTAAGCCGTCCACATTCCTTATTCTCACCATCATGATCTTCATCTTCTCTTTCGTCATTACTACTGGTCGACATGCTTTCTTTCTTTATACTTAATCCTTCGTCACCTCTGTCTTTATGTGTGCCTGTTCCAGGAGTGACCCTATCGCTTTCAGAATGTGAAGATCCAGACGGTGCATCGTGTTTACTGCTTTCATTACTGTTTATATCTGTTTTGAGGTTTTTAGGTCGTCGTTCGCAAGATCGATTCCTTTCTTCTGCCTGTTGCCTTTCTTTTGTTGACTTCCATACATCCGATTTAATTTCCAGTAGCTCAAATAATTCTTGCATGTCATCGATTTCCCCAGACTGAAATGAAAAATTTGAACCAATTAGGCAATTAACCAAGCCCGCGTGACTTCCTTATTTCGAGTACTTAGAGAGATTTGGAAAGAATCGTGCAACAAAAGGAATTTATCTGGGATGATTAAAGATACAACGCCCTGTGAGATGTCCCAGGTGTTACTGAATCAATATAGTAAGGGCATGATACGAAATTTTGTTGTGAGATAACGAAATATTTTTGAATGCTTTGTTTAAGTTGTTACGTTATAATACCCACCTCAATGTAAGCTTGACCACTGTACAAGAAGACAAGGAGATGCCTCATGAGAGTGCTGCTGATGCCAGACATGTGGATAGTGACAGGGCACTCGACTGATGGTGTATCATCGAGAATTTTTCTGCAAAACGAATAAGTTTCGTAATTAGATTTTAATGCTTTGCATAATTATTATATTATTATTTGTTAAAAATAAGTAGAGAAACATGAACACCCAATATGTTAAGACTACACGCCTTCTTGTGCGCTCTCACACGACTTTATATTTCTCTTCAGCTAGCTAATACAACATACCTTATGAGTGGGCTAGCAGCAGCCATGACGATCCTGTGCGCGGCAAGGGGCACGGCGTCATCGCACACGAGCACAAGGTCGGAATATCTTGCGCCGCGCCACGCCGCCCCCACTTCATTCAGGATGCAGGCGTGGTGCTTGCCGTACGTCAGCGTCAGCAAGCCTTCGCCCATCATTCCAGCACTGTAAGAAATAGAGACAGATGGTGAATAAGAGTAATCCATTCGTATTGAAAACATTTTTGAATCTATTTAAATCCTTTTCGTTGAATTCTACGTAACATTACGAAAGTTACCAAGAAAGTTATGATCTTGCTTTTTTGTTGCTATAATATATTCAAAGGTTTCTGATCAGAGATCTTTGATTAAAAGTTTGAATAAAATGAAGCTTACATTTTTATATCAGAATACACTGAATATATAAAAACTTTGTGAAAGATTATTCTAACAGGGGAGTAGATTATGGCAGTCATAGTACACTGTACATTATAGTCATCACCAAATAAGAGGCCAAATTTGACAGCCAAAGAAGGCGATAGTATGTAACTTTGAATGCAATCAACGAAACAATAAACAAACAATTATTAGCATAATTGAGTTTTTAAAAAATACATAAATTTTATTGAAACATTATATAATGTGACAAAACATATTTGAAGTACTGTTTTCGCACGAATTCCAAAATAAAATGCAATTTTCAGTTACCCAGAAACCTCCTGAAAACAGTTACATCTTCAAGCTATTTTTTTTTTAATAATAGTGTTGTGAGCAATTAATCGCCGAATTTCACGAAGTCATTTCGATTTCTCGGCAAAAACACTTTGTTGGTGACATTGACAACTTCTAACTTATTGCCAGCCGAATAATTGTAAATTTATGAAATCCTTGGTTTATTGGTAATTCAATCTTTTTATGTAAGTAGTTGTTTTATCGATGAACCTTTTAGGCCCCCTGAACAACAATGATCTGAAAAATAATCTAAACAATCACAAACTCTTCGCGTCACGATGACAAGTGTCAAATTTGGCCTCTTATTTGGTGACGAATTTAAGCTACAACACTTTTGTGCAACGAAACAAGAGCCGTCAATTACTTGCTTGGTTGTGCTGCTATATGTGTAATTTAATAATTACGTTGCTGGAGTGTTTTTTACACATTAGATAATTCGTAAACGAATTACGCTCTTTTTCTACCATTATAAATATTCAATGACACAGAACCAAAGTGGACATTGTATAAAAAAAACCAATAGAAAAAAAAACAAAATAAAAATACCAACCAATATTTGAACAGCAGTTTAAGTTATTTAATTTAATTTTAATTCCCGTTTTGCATTTACTAAATCGGCTTTAAAGTGCCTTCAAATTAGACGCTAAAGTGTGAAACACAAAGAGAGTGGGTGCGGGTCGGGTCGGAACCGCGGCAGGTTAATTCCGTGTATATAAGTGGACACGCCGCGGTCCCGAACCGACACGCGCCCTACCCGCACCCGCTCTCTGTGTGTTTCACGCATTATATGGACGACCGTCCCGCATAATTGGTGTCGTCCATATTATACACGGAATGAAACCCGTCGCAGTCCCGACCCGACACGCACCCGCTCTCTGTATGTCTCAACGCTTTTTAGAAGCGCTGCAGTAGCGGGACACGCGAACGTTTTGCGTCACTAATTATTGTAACTGCTTGCAAAAGTGGCGCACGCGTGTCACGTGTGGCGATGGCGCTTCTAGATATTGTATGAAAATTAGCAGTAGAGCGGCTGCTGCGCCACAGTGGCGTTTCTATAAGCGTCTAATTGGAAGGTTCCCTTACCAACGCTGCTGTTCATCTTAGAGTGGCTATAAAAAATATATTCATAATTCATACCGTTAGGCAACAAAGACGTCCATCATCACAAATAAGTGAAATCATCTAAAAAGAAACCGCTGTCACGTTTTGACACGCTGCTCTTGTACCTAAACAACTAAGCAACCAACTAAAAGAACACAAGGTTACATCAAAAGAAACAATTTCAATAGCTTATCGAAATCAACATTAGAATTAAGATCGTGTGTAAATTGTGAGATGGAATACAATAGGCATTTACCAAACAATTCAAAAGTTTCTCAACAAAATTTAAAAGGTTAAAAATCAAGAATTTAAATTAACGTTAAACAGACGGGAATGAGGTCCTAGTCGCAGGTGATAGAAAACTTGATGCAATAAGACCTTACCGCATTAAAGTGCGATAGAAGCTCGAGATCGTTTATGTGACTATCAGTAGCTGCTTCTATTGTACCGTGGCCGAGTTTCGCAACAGTGGGTTCATAACAGCAGCGCCGTCTTTAGGCGAGGACTAACCTGAACGATTATGAAGTATTTTATCAGATTTTAGTACTAAAACTACTCGAGATTATAATACGTAATACGCAACTAAATTACTTAGGGCTCATGTTAATAAATATGTCTATCTATCTTAAATCTTAAGTAAGTCAACTATGTAATTGTCTAATATTAATGCAAACCACCCTATTATTGACTTTAGTTACAAAAATTGGTAATAAAGAGTGATACTTTATTTTAATTTTTCAACGAACATTCCAATTTACGCTACAGCAAACAAAGTATTAATTTAATTTTAACAATATGAATTTTTGTTAAATTAAATGTATTATTAATTAAAAATTAAACTGTAATTTTAGTTTTAAGTAAAAAAAAGTTTAAAAATTAAATTACATATTTTGTAAAACGTATGTGATAGCGTATACTGGAATGTTCTTTGGAAAATTAAATTAAGGCGTTTAATTAATAACTTTGAAAACTATAGTGAAATAAGGGGTGGTTTGCAATAATATTAGACATAACTGATTGATGTATTTACCATTTCAGTCAAGTTCATTGTACTTTAAGGCTGAGCATGACGGTTTTATGTAATCTTTTAGCCACTAGTTATTTACCTTACTTTTATTTCGTTTGATAGTATACGCGATTGGAGGAATTTATAACGCATCTAAAATTCATATAATTTTTCACGTATAATCTTCCAACTAGACAATAATAGCTACTTCGAAATAATCAATCAGAGTACTGACTGATTTCGCATCATTTAAGAGTCGTCAAAATTTTCGCTTATTACTAAGCATCACTCAGCACTTGAGCTACTGCTCAAGATCATTATTAAGTCTTATTCAATCAAGTATAGAGTCTTGGTCAGTTGAGGTGGTGTCATCGATGATGCCCCTGCTTATGAATCTATTAATGTAAGACAGCTTGATAGGCATCTTGAGATCTAATTACATAATATGTGGTTAGTACCGGAGCTTTGGGTATATCGGGCCTTGATTAGACCACGGTGTAAATAATGTACATGTATAACAGAGTATGTTTTATTTATTAGAAACGTTAGCACTTAAATGGCGTAAGTTCAGCGCCAGTGGCACGAGTCAGAATTAAAACAATGCAGCAAATTCAAATAATACTCGATGTGTCCGTTAGATGGCGCTTAGACAAAAATTGTGTACTTGTGTTTGAGTAAAAACTGAAACGCTCTGAAAACTACAATAAATTCTGTTAGAAATAACAGTATCGAGTAGCAGTAGAGCTACTTGTGAAAGAGTTCGTCTAGGGGAGTACTGCCACCATATTATTTCTGACGCCAAGCAGTAATGAGAGCATTAGGTGCTGCGTTCCGGTGCTCTTCAGAACTTTGTAGTTCAAAGCACTGAATGGCACTGCAACTGTTATGGACAGGCGTGTCGCTTACCACTAGGCGCACCATTTGTTCGCCCCATCACTTTAAATAAAATAAAAAGTTTTGCTGGTGGCAATTCGCACCATTGTACTTTTTTAACGATCTACAACATATCTACACCTAAGAACGGCACTGGTGTATAGTTGTCACTATTGCACCTAAAGTCATATTTAATTGCAGAGGTTGAAGTGCAATGGAGCTGTTATAACCCGAATTTCGTGCGGAATGCTCATAACGATCACAATCGAGGGTTCCGTCACGATTTTGTAATAACACATTTCGAATTTCGTATGGTGCATTTAGGTTGAAGATTTGCACTTTGCGATAGCTTCATATGTGATCTTTATACCCGAGCTATAAATTATTGATTCACTTTTATGTTCGTACTAACTTTTGCATCCCATTTTGGGATTTAGGTAACCTACCTATCAAAATGATTGAGTAACATAAATTTAAAACAAACATGAAAAATAATTTTATAGAATCAGTGGCAAGCTATAAAAATGGACGCATGGAATTACATGTAACGGATTTGCTGGGATTATAAAATAAGAATTCGACAATGGCTGGTTTGATTGAAAATATTTATTGTACCTTACTCGAAACAACACCAAAATAAGTCTATTAAACATTTTCACCCCTCGAGTTTACCCCTGAAGGTTCCATTGGTGTAGTCTAGTGATACTTTTTATACCGCTAATTATTTAATAATATCAATCAAAAGTTTTATTTTCTCTCAACCATGTCAACCATGTACGTTCTGGAACCGCCATAACTCAGAGGTAAAAAAAAACAAAAAAAAAAAACATAAACAACATTTGTTGATGAAAACTAAATGTTAAATCATATAATTTAGTAAGTGTAAGTACCTAAATATTTACCCAAGAACGGTTGTGCCATTGAAATAAACTTTCTCATTTACTAGACCGTAACAATTACAAAACGTTATAGAATTGAATTTGTTACCTTTCGGGTGATACCTCTCTACCACTAGGTCAAGGGGTGATCTTGGATCACAAAAACCTAAGCAGCTTGAGTAATGAGATTTTATTCACGTTATATTAATGTGTTGGAATAAAAAAATTCAAAAAAAAACTTTATTAAAAACATGGATTAAGCATTTCCTTGTGCGCGATAATCGTGAAGCCGTTTATGATCCGGTAAAATGCAAATACAAAGATATGCAAAGGTTCTGCATACTATAAAAATTTGATTATCAATGTTATTAAAATCGGCAAACAGTCGAAGGTTTTTTTGATGGAAAGTTAAGAAGTAACATTATTAAAATCGCTATAACATTGCCAGCTGCGGGGCACAAGAAGTAAGCAACCCCTAGAGTTTCTTGCTCATTTTTCTCAGGGGAATCCGCGTCACGGATGAGCAGTAGAGTTTAATCGGTATGACCACAGACTACATAAATACTAGTAAGACGATTTCAAGTATAATTTGCTTAC